TTTGCTTGCGTATTAACAACCAATCGATCTAAAAAATTTCTGTTGTTTTTTTGCTAAATGAATTAGACAATTTTTAATGAGGTTTTTTTCCTAAGGTGGCATTCAAGTTTGCAAAAAGTCCGTGAAAATCCACACTCCAGACACCACCAACAAAAATCTATTCCATGTATTAGAAATTCAACAGACAATTTTTAATATTCAGTATTACATCTTCTCTTCATTCTGTGAAAATTTCATGAAGGTTGAATAAAAAATGGTGGAGTTATTTTAAAAAGTATAGAGAAAAGTCGTGTTTTGAGAAAACGACCGATAAAGAAAAAAAAATTTACTTTATGAGGAAATGGTGGTGACAAACATGCCCGGTTTGGGAAGAAATACGTTTTTTTAGCGGTTCTTATGCTATGAAATAGTTGTAGGAGAAGCTGAGAAAGCTAAAAATGCCTACACCTCAAAGCCTATCATTTTGAGCCGAATCGGGACTTTGGGAGTGCAACCCCCCCACCCCCTCCTTTAAGAAAACAACAAAATAATAATATAAGACTGTTTATTCCTCTACAAATAAAACATTAAAACTTGTTCGAGTAGTGTTCACCCCATCCGTATCAGGAACTTCAACATTGAACTCTTGAACTGTAGGGCAAAACAGCCTACGAAGAGTGAGGAGTGTACCCTTCATCCATCTAAACGGTGCTAGGCTGAAAAACGATGTCGACAATTTTGGTAGCAACTCTGCCGAAATATAATTCATATTCTGTCACGATGTGGTAGAATCAAGTGCTTGTCAATTTTTGGGCAACTGGAGTTATTGGTATCATCGTATTAAAGCATGTTCATCTGCCTTGCTTTTATTGCAAAAATACTCATCTGTCTTGAATAGAAGTTCGGATATTGTGTTGGAAGGAGGAGGGAGTCAACTGGTTTCAGGGGTAAAAAGAGAGAGTAAATAGCCACCAAATTGTTGTGACTTCCAAAGCCTAAGAGTCTTTGGAAAAAAAAATTACTTCCATAGCCTAAGAGTCTTTGGAAAAAAAATTACGTTTTGTTCCTTGTATCAACGTTTTTCAGTGCAGTCCACAAAGAAATGTGCTTTTTTATTAACAAACAAGTGTTAAGCCCCCAAAAATGTAAAACATTTGATCAATAATGCCTCTCATTTTGTTGTTTTCTGTTTCAGTAAGACTTTTATGGCATATGCAACACAATTAGATCATATACGTGCCGAAGAGTAGAGGTATTAAGGTATAAGGACAATATTTTTTTCTGGGATCTCTGTCTCTCTCTGTCTCTCTGTATAGACATATATGTATATATATACAGTCAAACCTGTGTAAGACGGCCACCCATTGCCAAGGAGAAAAGTGGCCGTATAAGACAGGTGACCGTCATACGCAGGACTGATCATGATGAAGAAAACAAATCATTCTTCTCAGAGGTCCCAATCGAAAGTAGCCGCATTGTTGTTGTCTTTGTTGTTGTTGGTGGTGGTGGTTTGTATTTTGTTTGTAATTTTTATTTTGTTGCTGATTTCGCACAAGGGTGACAATAAAACGAAATGTATCAGACGAGGAAGACCGAGTGCCATGTTAAAACAAACTCATGTGTAGCCACCACTCGGAGAACGAGCGACGTTTCTGTCACAAGTTCATGTTGACGTCCTTTGTTACTTTGTTACAGACTGGGTAAACAGTGACCACTCATCTCACTTACGATTTGTGTTTAAGTTCTGGGCGGGGCTTATGGGTTATGAGGGATCACACGCTTACCTCACCAACAGCTGAAAATTGGTAGCTATTGGTCAACAGTGGGAGGGGCCAACATGATCGGTTGGAGGGACTACCTAACAACAACGACAGGGGATTGAATTATGACGGCTCGCCCACAACGCCAGGGGCCAATGCACAATTTATGACTAAACGAAATGGAGTCACTAAGGTGGCCGTCTAAGACAGGTGTTATTTCTTAGTGTGATATGGATTGTGTGTTAAAATATGGTGGCCGCGGCCGCGTTGGACAGGTGCCCGTTTTACACAGTTAAATTATATAGAAAAAACGCAAGGGGGGAAATGGAAAGCGACCGTTTGTACAGGTGGCCGTCTTATAGAGGTGGCCGTCAGGGCAGGATCGACTGTATATATATATATATATATATATATATATATATATATATATATATATACTAATATATAATATCCTTTCTTTTGTTCTTGGTTTTGTGTTGCAATAAGTGACCGTCTTTGACAATCTCGACGGTATTCTAAAACGTCATCCATTACCTTTTCTTTTCCTTGTTCTTGGCAAGTTCTACGTTGCCTTGACCTGAACGTCAAGCCGGGTCAAACAGTGGCATTTGTGGGTCCCAGCGGCTATGGCAAGAGCACCGTGATGCAACTGTTGCTTTGCTTCTACGATCCGGATGAGGGAGAGGTATTTTCTGAGGATGTTCATCTATTGAGTGTCGGAGGGATTATCTGCTGGGGATGGGAGGGCTCATCCTTTGGGATGGTATGGTTTATCTTCTGAGGATTGGGGGGAGGGGAGGGGTATCTTCTGAGGATGGGAGGGGTATCTTCTGAGGATGGGAGGCTTTAACTTCTGAGGATCGGGGGGGGGGGTATTTTCTGGGAATGAGGTAGCCAAAAAGGCCAATGCTTTCGACTTCATCAAGAGCATGCCTGATATTATGTAAGACCTCTTGTCAATTTTTGAATTTTTTAGAAATAATATACTTTTGTTAATTCAAATCATCCACAGCTGATCCTCATAAAAAGCTGATTTTTGTACGTTTTTCCCTTCCGATGAAATTCAGATGAATTCTATAGAAGTCCTATATAATTCAAAGGGAAACAGCTAACTTGTATTTTTAAAAATTTAAGTCTTGATCGTCATTACACACTTAAGCGTGCCTCATGAGATATGCAAACTCTCATTTGCACTATGCTCAAGAAAATCAAAGTGTTGTTTTTTTATCATTAATCTTGACCTCATCTACAAATTATGCTGGCTAACGTTAATAGCACGTGTTTTACGTAGAATTGACTTCTACCTTTCAGGCCACGCTGTTTGTACCTAAACTTGTTTGATTAGAAAAGTGATATTTGTCTGGACTAGAAATGAACAAATACTAGTGCTCTCCCTGGACTCAGATTCGATTTCAGATGTGAATGTGCAGTCCACACTTTGCCACATTGTGTCTCCATAATAAACTTTTTCGAAACAGACAGGAAGGGATAGGTTTTGAGTGGAGTCGGTAGCCTAGTTGTTAGGCTACCGGACTCGTAATCGTGAGATTGCAGGTTCAGGGGTTCGAGCCTCAGCTCGGTCCGACGTTGTGTCCTTGGGAAAGGCACTTTACACGAATTTCCCACTTGGCTCGGTCCTTTCGGAGACGGACGTTAAACTGGGAAGCCCCGCCTCTCAAATAACCTAATAGTGTTGATAGGGGCGTTTAACCCATACCATGTCACCATGTGGATAGGTTTTTTTTTTAATTAAATATGCTTTTGACGATTGCTCTACTAATTCAACATATTTTTTTCCGTTGACGTTTTATTTAAAACTTGTATAACAGGAAATCCTAACTAATTCATCCTCCTTTATCCCTTTACTCAGAAATTTGACGCTCACGTTGGGGAGAGAGGCGTACAGCTTTGTGGTGGTCAGAAGCAGCTAGCTGGCCATTGTTCGAGCCCTGGTGAAGAATCCCAAGATCTTGTTACTTGACGAAGCCATGTCCGCGCTGGATGCAGAGAGCGATGTCGTTGTGCATAAAATATTATGTACTTGTGTTGGGTAAGGTCTACGTCATTGTGAGTTTTGATAAAGGTCGAGTGGCAGAATAAGGCACCCATGACGAGCGGCTGGTAAAGAAAGGCATTTATTATCACTTGGCATCAGAACAAGTGACAATTGCTCAAACGTTCAGATTTAACCTTTTAAGGAAATTTTCTTGGTGTTTCCCTATCCCCAATGCCCACCCCCACCCCTCCTTCTTTTGCTCTATTTTACCTCCCTGTTAATTAACCTGATTTCTCTTTTATAATGTATTTTAATTATTGTTGTTTTCATAGATAAACATTGCGCTCTTTATTTACAGAATGTATAGATAGATAGACAGACATACAGACAGACAAACAAATGGGTAGATCAATAGATAGACAGATAGATGGATGGATGGATTGATGGATGGATGGATAGATAGACAAATAGATCATCATCATCATTATCATCATCATCATAACTCTCCTCCTACCATCACCATCCTCATCATCACTATCATCATCAGCAGCAGCAGCAGCTGCGGCATCGTCATCGTTTTCGTCGTCAGAGTCCTCATCATTGGCATCTCGACATCGGTCAGTTAATACATCCAACAACAGCAGGAGCGCACATCAATCCACCACCACTGTCACCATCGCACACCATCATCTTGTATAATGCCTTAAACCTCCATCTGAACAAAGAGCAAAAACATGACGTCGTTATGTTTACATCTTTATTTCAGCTCTCTTTCGGGTGGATCTTTTAGCAAGGTTCTATTTCGAATTAATAAAACCCTTAAACCCGACTGCATGCTTCTTACTTTCATGAAAAGGATAAGTCTCTGATAAAAATTGCAAAAAAAAGGCAACTCGTTCGACCACCGAGCCACCAAACAAGATTGATTCACTTTCCAGCTATCTGAAATAGGTAAAGGGAAAGAAATGCGTTTTCTAAATACAAGACGTTCTTGTGAAACAAATGATACTTTCCCTTCACAAAAATATTGTGCGTTTTTGTAAAACCAGAAGAAATTATTTGTCAAAACACGCACTTTGATATCTTTAACTTTTGACCTTAATTTGTGTTTCTTAATTAAATATAATTTAGCATGTGACAAAAACATGTACTCTTACATAGCTGGAAGTAGAGCAAGTATATAACCTCATACTTTTTGGGACTATTGAGTCAGGACTTAAAGTGAATAGGACCCAAAGTACAAAGTGCAGCGAAAACTATTGAGAGCTACAGAAAACAAATTCATGTTATATCTAATGGGTGGCTCATTGAAGAAGAAATCTGACCCAGGATATGGAGTGAATACAATCTTCATAACGAATAATCAAAGTTTTTGTTCAATAACATGCGATCAAACTCCAACCTGATTTTATGTGGTAGTCTCTGTGAACATGTTTGTATATTCTCAAAATATTATTATATACCCCAGATCGTGCATGAAGCTTTATACGGGTAGTGGGCACCCCGCATTAGATAAAGTGTGCACACGGCGTATGTGCATCACCATTGCCCACCGGCTGAGCACCATCAAAGGCGCATTTATGATAGCTGTGATTGAGGCCGGAAGGGTCATGGAGCAAGGCAACCATCATCAGCTGATGGCACTCAAAAGACCTTGCTACAGACTACAACGTACCCAACGCAAAAAATAAATGCATGCACTTTTAAGTCATTTCTGCTATATTGGTACGGGGGAGTTTATTTAAGTTTCAGATGTCGACACCCCTCCCCCCCCCCCTTTTTTTCACACACACACACACACACACACACACACACACACACACACACACACACACACACACACACACACACACACACACACACACACACACACACACACACACACGCACATTCATATACACAAACCAAAACATTATTTTGCCCTTTACTTATAACCCATGAGTGTCACAGCATGTAAATATGGGATTGTGTCAGCTTTTTAGGTTTTTGTATATGTAAGCCCTCTGTTCACCATAAAACAATTTTGAGATAGATCTATGAGGAGTCGTCGATGTACTGCCCTCAATATATGTCATTATTGTTGTTTTATCGTCGAGGTAAATCCACTTTGATTGTTTATTCTCAACGTTTTGATGTTTTCCTGAGGGTTTTTTCCGATTACAAATACAGTCCTTTTCTGCTTTTTTCCTCTTCCCCCTCCGTACCTGTCCCAGTCGTTATGTCTACGTTTCACTATATTCTTGTGTTGTAGTAGGCTATGTCGCACCGGTGTCGGGGAATTTATTTTATGCCATCATTAATGGACGAAAGTGCGCAATTCATTGTAATTCCGGTTTCTCACTGTGGGGTGTGTGTGTTTTTTTGGTTAATCCTTACTTGTCTACACACTTTTTTTGCCTTTTACTATTCACGCCTTTCCCCATAACATATTGAAAATCCCTTCTAGATCTATCTGTCAACCGAAATGTTCCAAGATTACAAAAGGAAGCAACGCCCAGCAAGTGTTTCGTTTAATATAAATCTTCCCTCGAGTGTCTGATGTCAGATGTTTGGTATGTGTATTTTCCTTTCTCGTGTCGTCTCCGGTTTACATACTTGTAGCATGTTGGATGGATTCTTTTCTATGTGCATAATTTAACATTGATATTCGTTCTGACTATTGATATGGTGAAACAAAAAAGCAATAGGTCTCCATGTTTTTGTTCTCTCCGGTCTTCTTGTGATTTTTTTTTTTAACTCGAGACTTTGTGCGATCGAGACCGCCACCATTTTGATGAACTTTGATTTTTTGTATTGCCCTTTTTTATTTGAATTTCATAAAACCTGCAAAATTAGTAGACTGTTGAAAAAAAAAACAGAGTATAGGTGCAAAGAGGATCGCTATATCCTTTTGTGGCTGCAGTAAAGGTCCCAAAAATGAGGGTTAATTGAAAGTTTATAAAACAAAATTTAAATTAATAAGTTACCTTGTACATCGAGAGTCAAACTTACAACTTAGACAAAATACTGATGATAGTCACCGTTTCTTTTTGGTTTTGTAAATTTTAGTACGAAAGGCATATTATGTTCCTCTTGAAATAAAAAAAAGAATAAATGTTATTGTTTACTTTGTTATACTTTGCAAATTAGTTGGACAATATGACTTAGATCAAGCTTATTTCTTAACCTCAAACATGTTGCAGAGTTGTATCAAGCACTTGCGCCTAAAATATTGACGAGGGTCCACCTTGTGCCAAGCCTATTTTGACTTGTAATCGTGACCAAAATTCAACGAATATGTATTACTGTGACAGGGGTATGTGAAAGCCTGCGATTGAAGCACTGTCCAAATGTCGTTAACGTTTACGTCCGTTCTTTTAAATGGAGTTTTAAAAAAAGTGAGTTCTAACATAAATACGTATAATCTCATTTTTAATTTTTCTAAACTTAAAGTACAGGATATCCCCCTCCACTTCTCCGCCCTCCTTTCCAGAGTTTTTGGACTACGAAGGAAAATTAATTGCATTTGAGAAACAACGACATGATAGATGTTATATCCAATGAGTCACAAATGATCTATCTAACACTGTACCCTGTTTCAGCTCGGTTTAATTTTCTCATAAAAATCTGTTTAATTCTGTCTCATCATTGTCTATGTCCCTTTCTTTCAAACTCTCCGGTTTGTACCCACTTCTCACTTTCCTTTTCAA